ATCAAAGATGGACGTAGAATTTTAGTACAAGAATTAATAGGAAAAGTTTTTTTTCACTTAATTCATGTTTACTTCGAAATTTCGTGCCTAGATATTTCTCGATTTTTTTTTTTTTTTGTACTTTTGAGAAAAAACCAGCATTAAAATCAACCCCCAGATACGACAGACTGTTTCATGCTAAACGCAATCATCAGGACATGTGCGTTGTGTTTTTGCCCGGTTTTTATATATACAGGTCAGTGATGCACTATGGGGAGTCTATTGTATTATTTTAACGGTTATTTTGTCGGGTGTGGTTTGTTTACTCAGTTTATTTATTTATTTGAATTAATTTATTTTACTTGTTTTTCTTTATTTTATATATTTATTTATTTTTATTTATCTCTGTTTCATTTATATGTGCGCGCCCGTGTGTGTGTGTGCGTGTGTGTGTTTGTGTTAGGATCAAATTTTCGTTCTATTATCTTCCTGGTTTTCGTCGAAAATTTTTCATTTGTTTTTTTTTTTTGTTGTTTTTTTTTTCCAAGATTTCGTAAATTCAGACCTACTTTGTTTTACAGACAACATCGGCTTCAAAGTGTCATGTTTCGGTAACGTGAAATTGTTTGCATATTAAAAATGCCAGTCATTTCTATCAGTTATGTGGGTGTTGATTGTTGGAAACGACGGTATCGGACAAACAGACACATAGATAGATAGATAGATAGATAGATAGATAGATAGATAGATAGATAGATATGAACAGAATTAGATAGATAGATAGATAGATAGATAGATAGATAGATAGATAGATAGAAACATGCCGTGATAGAAATATACACAGAAACAAACCGTGATAGATAGATAGATAGATAGATAGATAAGAACAGAATATGATAGATAGATATGATGAGACTGAGATAGATAAATATGTAGATAAATCTGAACAGTTTACAATGTATAGATTGATATATAGATAGAGATCAACAGAATAAGATAGATAGATAGATAGATAGATAGATATGAACAGAATTAGATAGATAGATAGATAGATAGATATGGACAGAATTAGATAGATAGATAGATAGATAGATAGATAGATAGATAGATAGATATGAACAGAATTAGATAGATAGATAGATAGATAGATAGATAGATAGATATGAACAGAATTAGATAGATAGATAGATAGATAGATATGAACAGAATTAGATAGATAGATAGATAGATAGATAAATCTGAACAGTTTACAATGTATAGATTGATATATAGATAGAGATCAACAGAATAAGATAGATAGATAGATAGATAGATAGATAGATATGAACAGAATTAGATAGATAGATAGATAGATAGATAGATAGATATGAACAGAATTAGATAGATAGATAGATAGATAGATAGATATGAACAGAATTAGATAGATAGATAGATAGATAGATAGATATGAACAGAATTAGATAGATAGATAGATAGATAGATAGATAGATAGATAGATAAATCTGAACAGTTTACAATGTATAGATTGATATATAGATAGAGATCAACAGAATAAGATAGATAGATAGATAGATAGATATGAACAGAATTAGATAGATAGATAGATAGATAGATATGAACAGAATTAGATAGATAGATAGATAGATAGATAGATAGATAGATAGATAGATAGATAGATAGATAAATCTGAACAGTTTACAATGTATAGATTGATATATAGATAGAGATCAACAGAATAAGATAGATAGATAGATAGATAGATAGATAGATAGATAGATAGATAGATATGATGAAACTGAGATAGATAAATATATAGGTAAATCTGAACAGATTACAATGTATAGATTGATATATAGATAGAGATGAACAGAATAAGATAGATAGATAGATAGATAGATAGATAGATAGATATGAACAGAATTAGATAGATAGATAGATAGATAGATAGATAGATAGATAGATAGATGAACAGAATTAGATAGATAGATAGATAGTTAGATAGATAGATAGATAGATAGATAAATCTGAACAGTTTACAATGTATAGATTGATATATAGATAGAGATCAACAGAATAAGATAGATAGATAGATAGATAGATAGATAGATAGATTGATAGATAGATAGATAGATATGAACAGAATTAGATAGATAGATAGATAGATAGATATGAACAGAATTAGATAGATAGATAGATAGATAGATAAATCTGAAAAGTTTACAATGTATAGATTGATATATAGATAGAGATCAACAGAATAAGATAGATAGATAGATAGATAGATAGATAGATAGATAGATAGATAGATATGAACAGAATTAGATAGATAGATAGATAGATAGATAGATAGATAGATAGATAGATAGATAGATCTGAACAGTTTACAATGTATAGATTGATATATAGATAGAGATCAACAGAATAAGATAGATAGATAGATAGATAGATAGATAGATAGATAGATAGATATGATGAAACTGAGATAGATAAATATATAGGTAAATCTGAACAGATTACAATGTATAGATTGATATATAGATAGAGATGAACAGAATAAGATAGATAGATAGATAGATAGATAGATAGATATGAACATAATTAAATAGATAGATACTTAGATAGAACAATAGAGAGAGGGAGAGAGAGAGAGATGAACAGAATCATATATATAGATGTATATGGACAAATAGATAGATATGAACAGAATCAGATAGATATATACATAGATCAATAGAGAGATAGATATGAACAGTATCACATATATAGATATATATGGGCAGACAGACAGATATATAGATATGACGAGACTGAGATAGATATATACAGAGATAGACCTGAACAGATTACAATAGATAGGTTAATTCCTTTCTCTCAGTAGGAGAGAGTGCTGTTTAAATAGTTCTAGACCAGTTCATCTTGTGTGGTGTTCAGCTACTCCACAACAGCTTGTCCCTACATTTGTTAGTTCCTTAGTTCGCACGAACGTTACGCCCTGCCAATATCTCATAAATAAATGACGATTTCCGTTTTTTGGAAAAACAAAAACATATCAGAGATGATACTTGGTTTGAGTGAAAGAAAGACAGACGAAAGTGTTTAACGTCTCCTGCTAATACCTCATAAATAATGGCGATGGCGACAAAAGACATATCAAAGATGCTACTTGGTTTCAATGAGAAAATGAAAGAAAGAAGAGAATGTAAAAGTTTTTAACTTCTGTTCCAGTGAAATGGAGAAAAATTGTCAATTTCAAATATTTTCATTTCTGTCGCCTTACGGTGAAGGTCATTCAAAAAAAAAAAAAAAAAGACAAAACAAAACACACACACACACACAACAATCGACTGCTTAGGGAGATTCATATTTCCAGTATTGATGCCTCCTTTTTGTGCACTTAGTTTCGTTTTTATTTCTAGGTAATTTTTTCAACAATTCTGCTTTTTATTATATATACATGTTTGTTCATATTTATTTAAAAAATACGTAACGGCTGCAAAACAGCGTGCATCAATTTATTTACCATCAAGTTATGTAGCACAATTTTCCAGCTATACAGATTGTTTTGACACATCCACGTCTTCACCTAACAAGTATTTGCCAAACACCCGAGATATTTGTTTCTAAAAAAAAGTTCTAATACAGTGTAGCTCTAGAAACCCATTGTTTAATTTTAATGAGATTTGGTACTGCACTCGGCAACGGTTCAAGGTACATTTGCCCCTAAATTGGTTGGGGGTATTATGTATCGTTGAAGCTGTATGTCGGGAACACACACACACGCGCGCGCACGCACACACACACATATATACATGCAAGATTAGAGTTTTCGTATCATATTAATTAACAATGTTTCATTTAAGATATTCAAAGACAAGAAGATTCTACGGTGTGCATATGCAAATAAAGAAGGCATTTTATAAAGGCGTCCGCAGAGAATTAGAGAATGTAGCCTTATAGATAGAGTTCTCTTGTTATCTTTATCCCTTGCTACCGACTTCTAAGAATAAGGGATGAGAGTTCGAATCTTATTGGCAGTTTTTTTCCGATTCTTTTTTCGATTGCTAACGTTTTGTAGAATGACAAACTGGACGGTGCGATAGAAAGCAACAGAAATTAAGATGAAACCCAATTCGTATTTCCCAGTATTTACTTTCAGATATCTCCAAAGATGTGTCAATCTAATAAAAAGACGCTAGGTGGAGTAATAGATAGCGGCTCGGAGTGACGAAACGGGGGAGCTGAGTTCGAATCCCAATCGAATCCATTACATTCACTTATGTGCTAATAACCTTGGAAAAGGTATAAATCCTCTTCTCCCCCCACCCAGCTATGGGCAAATAGCAGGACAGACCGGGTTCTATAGCCTTGGATGTCAACTGGTCTACCGCAGAAAGAAATGGCAACCTACTGCTGGAAAAAAATCTGCCTCGTCAGTCATGTATTGAAAGATATATGATCGCCCAAGCGTGTATCAAGCATGGCACATAAATATCTTTGTTTGGCGGACTTCCTGCTTTGAAAAATCAGCATTCGAATCTTTTGCCTGGGATCGAACTGCACCCACTGACGCCAATGGATAATAGGCTGGTAACTTAAACGACAGGAAAATCATTGGTGTCTGCGTTCGCACTGACATTTTCTCTAAACACTTCCAAGCCAAACAAGCAAGACGTTATTCATAAATGTATTGGGACAAGTCGTGCTGAAACGTATTCGGTCGATTAAGTTTTCCTAAAATAGACTTTATTGAAATCATAGAATGTTTCTCTATGAGACTTTTCATTTTATTGTCATTTCTTGTTCATTGTTAAAAAGACTTGCACTGAAGCACACATACGCAAGCACACACACACACACACACACACACACACACACACACACACACACACACGCACGCACGCACAAACGCATACACGCACGTACACACACACACACGCACGCATACACGTACGCACAGAATAAATTAAAGTTTACAGTCCGCCATAAAACAAACATCGATCGATGTACCTATTTCATGGCTC